GATAATAGCCCAGAATCTTTGCTGGTTTTTAGTGGCAACTACAGTGTACATGGTTTATATGACGTCTTACTAAATTACAGGTGACTGGCATTTTGATTTGTTGATAGCTTCCTTTCCAGTTTTTGTACTTCGGGCTTATGGTGTTTTTTGATAAACATCAAAACCAAGCATTTATTTAATAAGTTCTTATCAAGATAAGCTTCAATACAGAACATTGAAATAAGCTAAACAATGCTCATAGGATGATCAACAGTCACTTTCACAGGCCCAAATTAAATCAGACTTATTTGATGTATACTCTTATATTTTTAATCTTCTTGCTGACTAACGTTTTTATTGTCTGCACTCTGCAGATTTCTCTTGACCTCACTATCCGGTGTGGACGTACCTGTCTTGTTTTCTCCTGTGCCATTTCAAAATTCTGCCGTTTCTACTCCTGATGTATATGTTCTTGACGTCATTGCATTCCTTTTTATTTCTCGTGTGCTTTTTTCTGGAATTTTATCTATTTAAGTTGATTATTGAGCTGTCATACCAATCCTTTTATGTTACTTGAGCAAGTAATACTAATAGTGTTTCCAGTATAGTGTTTTATGTGTCCAATGTTATTGTTACTAGTTTGTTTGCTTAATTTTTCAAATCTGTGCACTGGTCTAGTATCAATAATATATTGTTATCTTCAAGAAAACCATGTAGAGGATTTGATAGCTTTAAAATTGAAATTTTTTTGTCCAGTTTGTTTGAAGCTTCAATGATTATTTTTCTTCGGCTAGCTATTTAAATAATTGGAATCTATATATTTCTGTTTCTCAGATTAAATGCATGAAGACAAGAAGAGCTGAAGACATTGCTGCTTCTTATAACGGGTCTATATGGAAAGAAGGCGAGTCTGCACGAGGATCATCAGATGGCCTTTGTACCATTGAAATTAAGAATGCACTAATTCCACCTTGGTTTATTTGTGATATATGTGCATTGATGGCCTCTGAAGGAAGAAGCTTTGAGGCAAGGTACGAATAGCCTTTGCTTGGTAATACTTTTTACAGTGTTAAATTTCAGTTGTTTAGATAGGATAATTTCATGTGGTAAATAATAACTATAAATTTTAGAGGTTAATGAATAATGAGTAAGAGTGTGGTGGGTATACATGCAAATTCAAATATCCTGGATTTGCCTTTTAAAGAGCACTGCTTGGTAATGGACCACGGTTTCGAAAACAAGTCAAGCAGGGCCTGCACTCCTATGATTTGGCAGCGGTGGCGGGGTTGTTGGACGTAGGAGCCTGTGGTGATCTAATGTGGATCTATGACTAGTGGGTTTTTGGAGCCATATTATTTATGGATGAGCTCGCGGTAAATGAAGCTTTATAACATGTGAATGAGAAAATTCGGGTATATGTCTAGGTCCTATGAATTTCTATAAAGATTTAGGAACAGTTACGCCATTTTGGTTTTAGAAAACATTTTCATTCTTTTTTTATTTTCGTAATAACTTGCCGATTGTTGAGTCAATGAGCTCTATCTAATAAATAAATAGAATTTCATGAGCATTTATGCTCTGAGATGTTATGGATTTTTGCTACACACTGTCCAGTTAAAACTAGTTGTACCATGCATAGTTATAGTTATTTGAAACCTAAATGATGTTTTGTCTATCTTGTGGCTTACAGTTTTGTGACGGAACCTAGCTCGATTGGCTTGAATGTTGCCTTAAAACCAACATGTGAGAAGTCTGAATCCAAAGCTGCCGGTAGTGAAAGCTTACAAGACTGCAAAAGTTCATTTGGCATTGCAGAAGCTGTAGTCACATCTCGACTGTGTTCATGTTCATTAAAAGGCGTGAGTTACTGTGATGGTTCTTATACAGCATTGCTATCCCCTGTATAATCTTCTATTACAAAACTATGACCTTGTGAAAGGAAATAAATCAATTACGAACTCATTTTGCATTTAGTGCTTGACATTGGATGTGATTGCCATTTGAATCGAGCAGCCACGGGATATTTTCTCACTTGAATTGCTCTCAACAATTTGTTTATTCGTAAATCCAAGGTTTCGAAGTGAAGGACATACAATTAACCAAGTGAATTCTAACACTGGAAGTTTGTGTCCATTGATCCGATAGAGGATTTAATCTTGTGCCGAGCAGAGTCACCACTATAAATCGAGTCAAGTACCTCAATTACTGAGGTGAGCAATTTCGGGATTGCGTTATTGATAATTATCTGTTCAGAATAAAGAATATGAAATAATCGTGAAACTCTACACGTTAGTATAACTGGAAAGTGCAAAATCTCTGGCTGCTTTAAGTCCGTTTTGAAGAATTCTTTTCTGTTCGATTGTGATTTTCGAAATCAATCTTCAAACCCAAACGCATCTTGTCTAAGTTAGAAAGGCCTTGCCAGTACACTTTCCCCCCAGCCTTGGGGAAGGTGTACCTTCTTCAAGGATATAGCGGTTTAAGGTATGGGAGAAGTTGAAAGGTTAGGGTCATCTCTGCCATTGGATCTTGTAGATTTATTGGTTTAGGGTTTTAAATATTTGAATTTTCCCGCCTTTTTCCATGGCTATATATAGCATTGTGTGGTAGGGCCTCTCACGCGTATCGCTTTCAGCCGAGTAGTATCATTTGAGCAAATCCGATCCAGCAGCACGCGCCGAGTGATCGTTTCAATCTCAGCTTTCTGGTAAGTTTTATTGGATGGCTACTGCTTCCGAGAGCTCTTCGGCGAGTGGGGTTCGGTCATCATCGTCCGAGGGGTCGTTGTCTAGGGCTTCGGGGCCGTTGCGTAGGGAGACGTCGTCGCCGAACGGGGACAGGTCTAGCGAGGACGTGAGTACTTCCGAAGAGACCTCAACCAGTGGGAGTGAAGAGGTGCGGTGTTTTGAAAGCTTGTCTATCAATTAACTCCAATACCGTATTTAAGTTTTTTTTTAATGTATAATTTTATTTATTGATGCATGTTATTTGAAATAACAGACCCGACGATTAAGGTCATTCTCTGATGTTGATAATAGCCTAGAATCTTTGCTGGTTTTTAGTGGCAACAACAGTGTACATGGTTTATATGACCTCTTCCTAAATTACAGGTGACTGGCATTTTGATTTGTTGATAGCTTCCTTTCCAGTTTTTGTACTTCGGGCTTATGGTGTTTTTTGATAAACATCAAAACCAAGCATTTATTTAATAAGTTCTTATCAAGATATAAGCTTCAATACAGAACATTGAAATAAGCTAAACAATGCTCATAGGATGATCAACAGTCACTTTCATAGGCCCAAATTAAATCAGACTTATTTGATGTTTACTCTTATATTTTTAATCTTCTTGCTGACTAACGTTTTTATTGTCTGCACTCTGCAGATTTCTCTTGACCTCACTATCCGGTGTGGACGTACCTGTCTTGTGTTCTCCTGTGCCATTTCAAAATTCTGCCGTTTCTACTCCTGATGTATATGTTCTTGACGTCATTGCATTCCTTTTTATTTCTCGTGTGCTTTTTTCTGGAATTTTGTCTATTTAAGTTGATTATTGAGCTGTCATACCAATCCTTTTATGTTACTTGAGCAAGTAATACTAATAGTGTTTCCAGTATAGTGTTTTATGTGTCCAATGTTATTGTTAATAGTTTCTTTGCTTAATTTTTCAAATCTGTGCACTGGTCTAGTATCAATAATATATTGTTATCTTAAAGAAAACCATGTAGAGGATTCGATAGCTTTAAAATTTAAATTTTTTTATCCAGTTTGTTTGAAGCTTCAATGATATATTTTTCTTCCGCTAGCTATTTAAATAATTGGAATCTATATATTTCTGTTTCTCAGATTAAATGCATGGAGACAAGAAGAGCTGAAGACATTGCTGCTTCTTATAACGGGTCTATATGGAAAGATGGCGAGTCTGCACGAGGATCATCAGATGGCCTTTGTACCATTGAAATTAAGAATGCACTAATTCCACCTTGGTTTATTTGTGATATATGTGCATTGATGGCCTCTGAAGGAAGAAGCTTTGAGGCAAGGTACGAATAGCCTTTGCTTGGTAATACTTTTTACAGTGTTAAATTTCAGTTGTTTAGATAGGATAATTTCATGTGGTAAATAATAACTATAAATTTTAGAGGTTAATGAATAATGAGTAAGAGTGTGGTGGGTATACATGCAAATTCAAATATCCTGGATTTGCCTTTTAAAGAGCACTGCTTGGTAATGGACCATAACAGTGGCATACATATGAACAAGGGAGTTTCGAACGTGACAATCATGTTCAAATCCATGCTTAATGATATGACCATGCACTTGCATGCCCATAGCTGAAGACTCAAGCTGGGCACAGGCCTTAACCAAAAAAGGGTGAGTGATGTTATCAGGTAATAGACCAAAGCAGTGAGAGATCCAGAAATTTTAGATAATAGAGGCAATATTTATTCGTATTTATAGTCAGTGATGGATCTAGAAATTTTAGATAATTGAGACAATATTTATTCGTATATTTGTAGTATTAAAAATTTTACATATAATTTTTAAAAATATAAATATATCATAATTATTTTTTATAAGGTTTTATATCTATGATTATAATTAAAAATAAAAATAATTAGGTCCGACTAGATTATATTATAATTTATCTGCCGTAAACATTTTTTCAAATATTTGGTTAGAATTATAATCCTAAAGACCTACTTTAAAATAATTTAACACTAATAAAAATATAAAAATAAATGTTAAATTTTATAAAAACCAAGTTTAATTTATTTATGATATAAACATGTTTTTAATATCTAATATATATTTTTAGATGATAATTTATTTTAAAATATAATTTATAATAAAAATTCTAAATAGAACATAAATCTTCGATCTTTCGTATTTTGTTTTTTTTAATCAACATATA